AACCCGGTAGAGGTGTTTTTTGTTGTACTAGGTCCGGTTTTTTACTAGGTCCGGTTTCCCGCAAAGCTGCCAACATCCCCGGCATCACCAACATCACTTGGACCTGGGGCTGCATATTGGCTAGTTGCTGGGGGCTGGTTTAAGTTAAACAGCCCCCAGCAACTCCCAACTGCCACCCAATCAGAGCCAATAGGCAACCCCAGGTCCAAGTGATGCTGGTGATGCCGGGGATGCCAGCCAACCAACCAACCAACCAACCAACCAACCATCCAACCCATCACCAGACCGAACTGGAGGACGATTGGCCCGAAAGCATTTTTCCACAGGCGCTCATCCAGCCGCGGAGACACCTTTTTACATCGCTGCGGCGAGCGTGTCTGCGCGCGGCGATGCTCAGTGTGTATGGTCACATGAGAGCTCCATCTCATCATCCTACTTTCCTCTCGAACTGCGCCGCGCGATTTCTCACGAAAGTGGTCTGCGCAAGCTGCATTGTTCCAGGCTGCTGCGCGCAAGTTGCTCTCTGCAAGCTGCTGCACGCTGCTGCACGCAAGTGCTCTGTGCAAGTTGCTCTGCGCAAGTGCTCTGAGCAAGTTGCTCTGCGCAAGTGCTCTGCGCCAGTTGCTCCGCGCAAGCGCTTTGCGCATGTGCTCTGTGCAAGTTGGTCTGTGCAAGTTGCTCTGCGCCAGTTGCTCCGTGCAAGCGCTTTGCGCATGTGCTCTGTGCAAGTTGCTCTGCGCAAGTGCTCTGAGCAAGTTGCTCTGCGCAAGTGCTCTGCGCCAGTTGCTCCGTGCAAGCGCTTTGCGCATGTGCTCTGTGCAAGTTGGTCTGTGCAAGTTGCTCTGCGCAAGTGCTTTGTGCAATTGCTCTGTGCAAGTTGCTCTGCGCAAGTTGCTCTGCGCAAGTGACTCTGCGCAAGTTGCTCTGCGCAAGTGCTGCCGGAGCTGTGGGAATGTACTTCGCATACTATTTTTGTACTTAAAAGTTGCGATTTTCCAGCCGGAGCTGCGGGGGTGTGCTCCGCGTACTACGTTTGTACTTTAAAGTTGCGTGGGAGCACGCTCCGCATACTACGTCTGTACTTAAAAGTTGCGATTTTTCAGCCGGAGCTGCAGGAGTACGGTCCGCGTACTACGTTGCGATTTTCAAGCCGGAGCTGCGGGGGTGTGCTCCGCGTACTACGTTTGCACCTAAAAGTTGCGATTTTCCAGCCTGAGCTGCGGGAGCATGCTCCGCACACTACGTCTGTACTTAAAAGTTACGATTTTCCAGCCGGAGCTGCAGGAGCACGCTCCGCGTACTACGTTTGTACTTAAAGGCTGCGATTTTCAAGCCGGAGCTGCCGCGGACCAGGGGGGAATCGAACCCGCGACCGCGGGATTGCGAAAGCAGGCGCGCAAACCACGAGACAACTTCCAAAGGCCGTTTCGCGAGCAAGAATATTGCACGGCGCCACAGCGAGAGCACTTCGACACGCACAATCTCCGCAGAGGGTTCGCCGAGACTAAAACAAATTCGCACGGCGCCACAGCGAGAGCGCTTCGACGCGCACGATCTCCGCAGAGGGTCGCGCGCGCGCCGCAGAAATCGTAAAAAGTCTTCAGCTTTTGAACCTCGACCACGCGAATCTCCGCAGAGGGTCGCGCGCGGCCAGCAGAAATCGTAAAAAGTCCTCAGTTTTTGAACCTCGACCACGCGAATCTCCGCAGAGGGTCGCAATCCCGAGCGACGATCAAACTCCCGCCCCGGCGCCTTAGAAACCTAAACTAACTTACATAGCTGCTAACGCCGAAGCTCTAAGCTCTACCTAACCTTGGCTCTATGTAACTTGGCTCTATGTAACTTGGCTCTATGTAACTTGGCTCTATGTAACTTGGCTCTATGTAACTTGGCTCTATGTAACTTGGCTCTATGTAACTTGGCTCTATGTAACTTGGCTCTATGTAACTTGGCTCTATGTAACTTGGCTCTATGTAACTTGGCTCTATGTAACTTGGCTCTATGTAACTTGGCTCTATGTAACTTGGCTCTATGTAACTTGGCTCTATGTAACTTGGCTCTATGTAACTTGGCTCTATGTAACTTGGCTCTATGTAACTTGGCTCTATGTAACTTGGCTCTATGTAACTTGGCTCTATGTAACTTGGCTCTATGTAACTTGGCTCTATGTAACTTGGCTCTATGTAACTTGGCTCTATGTAACTCTATGTAACTTGGCTCTATGTAACTTGGCTCTATGTAACTTGGCTCTATGTAACTTGTCCAAGGGCTCCGCACGGAAGAACCCTTCGCGATGCTTTCGGGAATAATAAACCAGACCTAGTAAAATAAAAAAACGCTACCTCCAGGGGAACCCTCCCAACCAAAAAAGGGTAAAAGGGCACCGCTGGGGGACCTAGATACCCTCCCACCAATTAACATGGCATGTGACACAGGGTCCCTTTCAAAGGAAAATGGTCCAAACCAGGACCCCCCGAACGTCAGGTCCATGTTAATTGCT